TGGTCGGAATAAAGCCGACCGCCTGGCTAGGGATCTCCAGGATGCCTTATGCGGGAATGCAGTGGTCTCCAGGCCGGCGAGGAGGACGGAGTTCCGCCTCGTCGGCCTGGAGGACTCAGTAACCAAGTTGATGGTCCGGGCAGCTATTTTGAAAGCCTCGGGTTGTCCCCCGGATGATCTCCAGATCGGGGAGATTAGGAGATCGTCCGGGGGACTAGGAGGGTTTGGATCTGATGCCCACTGGCACCGGCCCAAAAACTAGTGGCAGCCGGGGGGCTAGTCATAGGGTGGGGTAGGGCACTAGTTAGGGTATTGGAGGACCGGCCCCTCCAGTGCTACAAGTGCCTGCACTATGGCCGTATGGCGGCGACCTGCTAGACCGATAACGGTCTGGCAGGCCGCTGCTTCAGGTGCGGAGGGGACGGATATGTGGCACAGGGATGTACCGCTGAGGTGCGGTGCCTGCTGTGCCACAAAGAGGGGAGGGAAGCCGGCCACCGAATGGGTGGCCGAGCTTGTAGGGCGGTCCCTCGGACTGCCCCGAGAGGAGGGGTACCTCCTCCATGCAGGAGGAAGAGAAAAAAAAAAGGCGGCACGCGAGGGGGCTGCGGCTGATGTTCGGCCGCAGCTTCCCGGCGATGCCGCCAACACGGTTTTGAAACCGGTGGCTGGCCCGAGCAGGACCGGCAAGGTAGGGATGGGGGTGACGAAGGCTGGAGCGATCCAGCCTCCGCCACTAACGGATCAGGCAGAGCCTGGGGCGGGAGGAGCGTCGGCCGCTCCTACTGTGCCGGACCCTCCTCCGGCGATTAGGCCGGAGGGGGTCTCCGAGGCGGTAATGACAATGGAGGTTGAGGACTCAGTCTCCCTCCTAGCGGAGGCGGGGTGGCAGGAGGGGGGGTAATGAGCAGGAGTAGCTCACCCACTCCCTCACCCCAGGCCCATGAGATCTGCCGGTGCGGTAGTGGCCTCGAGGTGCTAGAGGCCCCGGAACCGGGACCCATGGGCCAGGTAGGAGCGGTCGGGGTGGCACGACGACCCGTCGTGGGAACACTCCTGACCGCGCTAGGAGGGATAGCCTCCCCCCAGGGTGAGACCCCCGAATCCGGTTTTGGTACGGAGGAGGAGGGAGCCCTGGGGGGGAAGACTCACCTCCGGGGGGTCGGTGCTGTAGGGTCCCTCTCGGTTCCTCACCGAGAGGGGAGTTTGGGGGGGTCCTATTGGGACCCCCACACACCTTACCATACTCCCCCGTGGACGCCACCTTGTCGTGGTGGGGGAGCTTGCGTGTCCCAATGATGTACAGGGCTGTACCAGCGGGGGTTTCGACCCCTGGCAGGTTCTACCATGCCGGGGTGGTCTGTACAGAGGGACCAGGCTAAGAGCGTCCATAATACTCCTGGATGGGCAGCTGCCTCCAGGTTTTATCCAGGGTCTGGAGGGTCTCACTTGTGAGGCTCGAAGGACCCTATAGCGCGGGCAGAGCGGGCTCGTTAGCCTGGTGAAGGCAGCCGGTCTAGGGGAAGGAAAACCCCGAATTCAAACCCGAGTGGGTAGGGCTCGTAACAATCCTATACATGATGGACTACTTTATGACAAACGAAAGGCAAAACATTTCGGTATTCGGAGCCGAAAACCGGCGTGAGGTTGGGGATACTGTCCCGGCCCCCCCCCCACCACGTCGTCATCCTGCAACGGGCCGTCACAAGTGTTGACCACGGGCGCTTGTGAGGAAGTTACGACCGTGAAGCGTCATGTCGGGGAACCAGACCTGAGCCCCGTCATGTCGTCAATAGACGACAGGTCAATTACCGAATAGAGCTCCAACAGGAGCCGAAGTCGGAGCTCGGCTGGCAGTAGCTTTCGCTACTGCCAGTCTTCCAACGGGGATCCGGACTTCGATCCCGGAGTTCGGACCCACTCTGAGCTGCAAGGCCGGAGAGACCGCTCCCGCCGGGGAGCGAGTCGAGTGGACCCCCAGGGAAAGAAGAAGGGGTTGTCGCACACCGGGGGAAAACCGTCCCTGGCAAACACCGGCCAGAAGCGCGGTCTCCACCGGGGGACTCGCGACGTGAGCCCTCGGTACGAAGAGGGGCGGCCACGCTCCAGGGGACATAGGGGGCCCTCGTCGGAAGACGAGAAGCGCCTCCCCTACCGGGGGGAAGGCGAGGCGGATCCCCGCGTTCAAGACAGACCGCCCAACCAGGGAAATGACCCGGGGTAACGGCGCCAGTATCACCGATATGACGCCTGTGAGAAATAGACCTGGCCCCCTCTCTAGTGAGAGAGGGGGACAGGCTTCCGGGAGAGGGGACGCGAGCGCGGACGCGAACGGCAAAAGGGGAAAGCCGAAAATACTATCGGACGTTCTCCTTTCGCAAAAGTCTAAAGTGGCGAGGGATGAACTGGGCAGGTTCGTCTCCTCTAACTCTTCCACCACGAGATCCATCAAATCCAATGAAACCAAAGGGTCCAAACCCGCCACGGGGACGGCTATTACATCCGACAGAGCCGGAACCAGCGGGACGAGGACCCGTGACAGAGAGAAAAGAAGGAGGGAGACCACGAGTGGCAGCTCCGTCATCTCATTGGGGGACTCGTCTCCCCAAAAACCAGCGACTCCTGAGCCCGTCCTCGTCAGGAAGAGGGAGACGAGAGGGAGGAAACCCACCACTGGACTAGGGGTAGGCTTAAGGGAAAGGAGGGAGGCCGAAGCTGCCAGAAGGAAGGTGGAAAGGGAGAAGTGTCTGGAGAAGGAAATAGAAGACCTTCTCAACACCGGGATAATGAGGTCCCTGGCGGACAGGCGCCCAATGGAGAAGGTTTACAAGGACGCAAGTTCTGCCACGCTCCTGAGGGAAGCCTTTACACCGGAACTGGCCTCGGAGGCAGGCCGTGCGCTCGGTGCACTGAGACTGGTGGCATGAAGGTCCAACACGCTCAAAGGGACCTTCGTGTCCCTGATGAACCGAGCAGTAGGCTCCTCCAAGGCCATCCTGCAGACCCTCATGGTCAGATTCGCGGCCATTAATGGAAGGACAGACGAGCGGTCCAACCTGGAGGCCAAGATGAACGGGATGGGGGAAGAAAACAAACGGCTGCGGATTGAAAATAGGAAGCTGCTTGAGGAGCAAAACGCGGCCAAAATGGCTTCCGCCGTCGCACCGGACCTCTCCCAGCCTGGTTTACATCAGCGACGAAGGACGTATGCGGAGGCTGCAGGTGGTAGCTCCTCTGCGTCGGACGCAGACGCCAGGGAGGCACCGAAACGGAGGACGAGGGAGAAGAAGAGGAGGAGAGTGGTTAGGGCTCCAATCCAGGAGTCCTCCAACTCCTTCGTGGAGGTAAATACGGAGGACAGGAAAGTTGCCGTTTATGACAACAACTTAGACCTCCACAGGCGGGAGGAGTCTTTAACCGCCCCGGTGGCGGTTAAAAGACCCCCACTACAGGGGGTACAAAGGGACCTAGATGAATCCCTGGCGCTTCAAAATATGGAGCCGGAGGCCAGGGAGACGTATGTGAAGATGACGCAGGAGTTGGAGCAGTTGGTGGACGCCTGGACCCGAATGAGGAGGGCTACCGGGCAGTGACTGCATCCATTAGGAGGCTGACGACGGAAAGGGCAGTTGTGATGGAACTGGGACCTGGGAAGACGTCTCCCGGGCCGGCGGCGCGAGCCTCTGCCCCGAAATCTACTCCCCCCCCCCGGCCGGAGAGCCGAGAGCCGAAGGTCTGAGGGACGTCGACCCAAAGGAGGAGGAAACGTAGGATGGAGAGAGAGAGGAGAAGGAGAAGGAGATCCGAAACCACCGGTGGGAAGCGGGAAGGGAGGGGACAGGAACTGGAGAAGCCAGGGTCAGTTCCCCCCTGCACACGCCGGAAAATCTTACGCCCAGGCATTGAAGGCTGCGGGGAAGGAAGACCGGAGGAAAAGCGGTAGCCAGCAGGCAGGGAATGCCGTCCAACCCTCCAGCCAACCCCGGACCGCACCCGCAGCAACCGCAGCCAAAGAAGAGGGATGGACCCTGGTAAGGGGACCAAGGGATAAAAGGAAGCAAAAGAAGGAGGAGAAAAGGGGGAAAGCCCGCAAGCCCCCTCTTCTTCAGCCCGTCAAAGCCCCGAGAAGGGAGGCAGTGATGCCGCGGCCGCCTAGATCTGCAGCCGTCACAGTCACCTGCCCCAAAGATTCTTATAAAGAATTTATGGTTGAGGCCAGGCGCCGGATAAAGCCAACAGGTGTCGGCATACCGGGTGCCTTGAAAATTAGGACGGCCCGTACCGGGGCCTTGCTTATCGAGGTGCCTAGCCTCAACGCTGGGCCCTCCGCCGACCGGCTCGCCGAGAAACACGGCAAGCTGGCGGCGGAGAAGGGCCCCGGCTATAACATCCATAGGCCAGTGAAGATCGCAGTACTGCGGCTCACCGGCCTGGACGCAACGGTTGGGGCCGAAGACGTGACGGCTGCTATGGCTCTCGCTGGGGGCTGCCCACCTACGGACGTGTCCGGGGGTGAGTTGCAGTTCACCCAACGAGGAACAGCAATGGCCGTAGTGCGGTGCCCGCTGGCGGCGGCCTCCAAGGTCGCTGCCGCGGGGCGGGTCCTGGTGGGATGGACCCGAGCCGGGGTAACGGTTCTGGCTGCTCGCGCGGCGCTCTGTTTCAGATGCATGGAACAGGACCACATGCGCGAGCAATGCAAGAGTGCCGTCGACCGCAGCAATAACTGTTATCGCCGCGGTATCCCCGGCCACCGCGCCAAATATTGTAGGGCGACCGCGGCGCACTGCCCCGTGTGCGTGAAAGCGAGGAAACCTGCCGGTCACAAGGCTGGTGGTCCGGCATGCAAGCCGCTGACCGGCAGACAAAAGAGGAAGAGGGAGGCCTAGAGGAAGCGGCAGCCCGGACCTAGGACGACGAATACTCCTCCCACTCCGGATGGGACTGGAGGCGAGGAAAGGGAGAAGGCCAGGCCGGCTTCCTCCCCTACGCGGGAGGAGATGATGGTGGAGGCGGCTGCCAGCCGTACCCTGGACCCCACCACCCCGATGGAGAAGGAGCTGCAGCCGCAGAGGGGGAAAAAGAGGAAGACCGCCATGGAAGCGGCTCCTCTGGCGGCGTCACCGGCGGAGCCGGCAACAGAGAAGGAGGACGAGGAGACCGCGACACCGGAAAGGACGGACAAGGTGAGGAGGATGGAGGTCGTCGAGACTCCACCCCCAACTACCCTAGACGGAGAGTCGGAGGACGCGCCATCCTCGGCTCTCCCTGACAGCTTCTCCCCCTCGTACTCCCGAGAGGAAGGGGGAGGTGGAGGTAGGAACCCCCTTGGTAGGGACTTCCGATGCACGAATGGAGGAAGTGGCAGACACCACAAAGATACCCGACGAAGAGGCCACCATCACGGCCGAGGCCCCCTCAGAGGAGACTGGGACGGCGTCACCGCCACCCGAAGTCTCTCTGAGGTGTGCCGACGAGAATAGCCCGGAGGAGGCGTGAAGGCCTGGCTTTCACGCTCTTCCGGGTATCTCAGGCCAACCTAGGCCGCGGCTCCCGTGCGCAGGATCTCTGGTGCCAGAGACTTGCGGAAATGGACGCCGACCTGGGTCTGGTCACGGAGCCGCACCATGTTCCGGCCGGTAACAAAAACTGGCTGGACAGTGCGGCTCCGTGGCCGTGGTGGTCAGACCCGCAACGGGCATCCCCCTGCAAGGTCAGGAAGAGGGGACGCTCGTATGTGGCGGTTGACCTTGGGCCCATCACTGTTGTGGGGGTATACTTACCCCCTGTAACCAACAGGTCAGGCCTCGGCAAACTCGCCCGCATTGTGAGGATCCTGGACAGGGTCGGGGATGTGGCGCGCCAGTGCCACCCCCGACCCGTGATTGTCGCTGACTTCAACGCCCACTCCGAGGAGTGGGGGTGCAGTCCCCGGCAAAAGGACCCTCGGGGCGACGTCGTGGCAGCCTGGGCGGCGGTCTTAGACCTCGTGTTGCTCAACACGGGGACCACCAGCGCCTTTGTGCGGCCGGGCGGGGGGAGGGGCGAGTCGGTCATTGACCTGACTTGGGCCTCCCCCTCGGCCGCCAAGTTATTCCGGAGGTGGGTGGTGGAGAATGAGAGGGAGTCATTATCTGATCACAGATATGTGGCGTAGACTCTCCGACTCCCCACTCCCCTCCGGAGGCTGGACCGCCGCCCAGGGGAGGGGGACTATCCCCTCCCCAAAAGATGGGCCCTGGGTCAACTTGACGCGGACAGGTTTCAGGCGACCGTCCTCGCGGCGACCTGGCACCTCGAACAGGAGCCAGGTACAAGGGACCTCCGCCCTCCCTCGAAGGGGCTAAGGAGGACGTCGGCCTGCGACGTCATAATGCCCCGGTCCCACCCCCGCCGGCGCCGGGCTGCGTACTGGTGGACGCGGGAACTCGCGGAACTCCGCGACTCCTGCGTCCAGGCCAGGCGGGCGAATACCTAGGCCCGGCGAAACGGCGGGGACGCCGCAAAGACATATGATGGCTACCGCAGCGCGCGGAAAGCTCTCAAGGTCGCCATTGACAACGCCAAGGCTAGAGCGTGGGAGCGCCTGGTGGACTCTTTGGACGAGGACCCATGGGGGCGCCCATACAAACGGACAGTCGGGAAGATACGTCCGTGGGTGCCCCCTCCTACCTAGTCCATGAATTCCCGGGACCTCAGAGACCTCCTCGATACCCTCTTCCCGAGGGCCGAGGGGAGACCGCCCAGTATCCCCGTTCCTGATGCTCAGGACGGGGACTGGGACGAGGACCTGGGGATCTCGTCCGAGGAGTTCACCAGGGCCAGGAAGAAACTCGGAGCCAAGAGCAAAGCCCCAGGTCTTGACGGGATTCCTGGCCGAGCGTGGGCTCTCGCTCTTGGCAACGGAGACCTGTCCGCCGCCACGCGGGAGGCTTTGGAGGGGTGTCTCAGATCCAAGAGTAGAGGAGGGCCAAGCTGGTCCTCCTCCCAAAGAAGAGCAAGTTACCCGGTGGGCCGTCGGCCTACAGGCCGATTTGTCTGCTGGACGAGGCGGGTAAGATGCTGGAACGCATCATCGCGGACCACCTCGTCCAGCATCTGTCCCTGGAGGGGCCGGACCTCCACGACAACCAGTACGGGTTCAGGCCCGGACGATCAACGCCCTCCAGCACGTCCGGGACCTGTCCCGTACCGTCGTGGAGGTCGAGGGTGGGGTGTTGTTGGCGGTTTTGTTGGATATAACGAACGCCTTCAACACCCTGTCCTGGCCGGAAATAGGAAAGGCATTGGAACACCATCGTGTTCTCGCCTATCTCCGGCGCATTATGGCCGATTACTTCAGGGACAGGGACCTCGCCTACTCGGGAAGAGGCGGGGTCCAAGGCCGGCGCCAAATAGAGCGCGGTGTTCCACAGGGGTTCGTATTGGGCCCCCTGCTCTGGAACATCGCGTTCGACCGGGTAGTGCGTACTCCCCTCCCCCCGGCTGCCATGTCGTCTGCTATGCAGACGACACTTTGGTCATGGCCGAGGGAGAGGATTGGTGGGAGGCTCACCTTAGGGTGGAAGCCGCTTTGCACTCAGTGGTGAACACCATCAAGGACCTCGGGCTCAGAGTGGCCCCCCAGAAGACACAGTCCATGTTATTCCATCGACGGGGTCGGGGCGAGCCGCGAAGAGCCTGGGTCCTAGTGGACGGAGTCCGCGTCCGCGTCAAGCCCACGATGAAGTATCTGGGCTTGACGTTGGACAGCCAATGGAACTTTGGGCCCCACTTCAGGAGCCTGGCCCCCCCGGGTCCGCAAGATAGGCACGGCGCTGGCTGGCCTTATGCAGACCCAGGGGGCCCCGGATGGCGGGCACGCCGCCTATATGTGGGAGTGATACATACGGGGCGCCCATATGGGCGCCCCGATTATTAGCTACCGCCAGCAACAAGACACTGCTCAGGCAGGCCACGCGGGCGGTATTAATAAGGGCGGTCCGGGGGTACTGGACGATCTCCCACATGGCGGCGGCCTCCCTAGCCGGCTCCCTCCCGGTGGAGCTCTTCATCGAGAAGAGAAATCTCCTATACTGGCGAATAAAGGAGCTCCGCCAAAGGGGGGAGGGCCTATCGGCCAGGGACCTGAGGGCCCTTAGGAACCAGGCCAGTGACCGGGTCCTCGACAAGTGGTCGGCCGAATTGACCGACCCGCGAGGATTCGGTCGCCAGACAGCCGAGGCTGTCCGCCCCTGCCTGCCGGAAATGGTGGGCAGGAGGGGGTGCGGACTATCGTTTCATCTGGTGCAGGTGCTGACCGGGCATGGCTGCTTCGGGAGGTACCTGCACCGGATAGGCAAGGAGATCACCACTGAGTGCCACCACTGCCCGGAGCCAAATGACACGACGCAGCACACCCTCGCCGAGTGCGAGGCGTGGTGTGAGCAACGCCGTGTCCTGGCCCGGGCAGTGGGGTGCAGGATGGAGGACCTTTCGCTCCCGCGCATGGTGCGAGCCATGTGCGGAAGCGAGGAGGTATGGGAGGCGGCGGCCTCCTTCTGCAAAGACGTCATGTCCCGGAAGGAGGCCGTCGAGTGGGAGCGCCGACCCGACCCGAACCGCGGAGTGCGGGGGGGTCGAAAGCGGCGCTCCCCGGGAGGAGATGAGAGTGGCTCCGAGGTGGCGCCGGCCGGGAGGAGGCGACGGAGACCGGCAGTCCGTGCTCCGCGGTCACCCCAGCCGCCTCGGGGCTGACTTCGGACGCGGGGTGGGAGGTGAATGACCTGCCGCGCTCCCTCGCGCGTCGGTCAGGTTAGGAAAAGGGGGAGCGAGGGCCTTTGGGATAGGACCTCGCTCCCCCGCCACCTCCCCTCTGAGTGAGAACTCTAGGGGAGGGGCGGGGAGGCGGGGGTGGGTGTCCCCCCCCAAAATAGTCACCGAAAGGCCAATCTTGTCGGCTTAGCCGACTGGGGCGTCGCGTCCTGAACCTTTTCCGCAAGGAAAAGGGGGCGCGGCACATGAGCGTGGGGCTCGACAACGAGCCCTGGGGCCGGGGTGTCGGGGAGAGAATGTTGGCGCAGTTCCCCTGACTCCCCCCATCTTGGTCCGACTGGTAGACACCCCAGGAGTTTTAGTGAGTAAGAGTCTCACATAACCCTCCGCTCCTCCCAGGGAGTGGAGGGTACCCCATGATGGGTTTCCGCTACGTTATCAAAAAGAAAAAAGAGGTGTGGTTAACAACTACTGACTTTCTGCGGCAAGTCCTTTCGTGGTTATCGATTGTTCGCGTCAAAATGAGTCCGTCAAGAATGCCACTGTGGATTGCCACTGTGGATTGCGGATAGAATTTGAGTATAAAGAGAATATATATCGCCGCGTACTGTCTCATCCCGCATGATCGTGTAGTTGAATATAGCCCGCTAACCAATATAGTACGCAAACTCAACTAAAATCAGAAAGCATGTACGAGAAAAGAAGAATACATGAAACAAAGTGCTATAAATGGCACTTTTCTCCCGGATGTGTCGAAGAATGTTTCACCATGGTTGTGCCGACGTTTGTGGACTTGCAAGGATTCATGGTTGGAAAGAGATTTATTGTAAAAGAAGCAGCGATACTGAACAACGGAATTATTCTTTCGCGCTACGTCTTTATGAGTCCGATGCCATGGCATCTACTCACAAAATCAGACAAATTGAGAGCCTACTGGTTAACGACTAATCATAGATTACGATGGGAAGATGGAACCGTCAAATACTGCAGAGCTAAACATTTGGTTACTGCAGCTGTGGTGGATGATATGTATGGCGAACTTGAAGACGATGTATTTCAATTTGTATACGTGAAGGGGCATGAGAAGCGAGAAAGGTTGTTACACCTTCTGGATGACAATATGAGAAGCAACGTGATTATTAAGACCATGGACACCGATTACGATGACATGCCTTCTCTGCAGAAATTGAATAATACTTTTCGATGTAATAATCATATGAGAAGTTGTGCCTTACAGAATGTACTAAACATTTTTAGTTGGTCTCGAAGAAAATTGTACGACGCTATATAATAAAACACTATTTTAAATGTACAGATGTTTCTTCCAACACGCTTATCCCCTTTCTTAAGACATTTTATGGTAATTGTGCTTGATAAAAATACAGTTTTTTATTTGCGGTATGATGCTTATTTTGAATCGGGTTTGGTCTCGACTTATTTGTTTCTTTGACGTATGCGTGACGTCATCATACACACTTTGAGAACACACTTGAGAACCTTCACTAGACGTCTACTAGCAATAGGCGACGGTGGTCTAGGAGGGTGGAGCGTTGGATAGTACCCACGAGGGCCAGGTTCGAGTCTAGCAATATCCCGGTACATTTTTTCTCTCGTGACATCATACACACTTAAGAATCTTCATTAGACGTTTACTATGAACCATGGACCTAAGAATCTATGGACGGAGCGCAAAGCATATAGGTTGGGAAATATGCAGTAAGGGGGGTATAGCGCTATCTCTATCTACAATAAGGCATCGTCGGGTTCCGCCATACACACGATGATTTCCGAAAGACTTATATATTGGGTGAGTGCAAAAGTTCGTGCGGAGTTTGTGAGTAAAAGTCACACAGTGATTAGGCAAACAAAAATCTTTATTCAATCAATGATATATTCTCCATCGTTTTCTATAATCTTTTCCCAACGTTCTGGCAGCATACGGATGCCTCGATCATAAAAACTGCGCGGTTTAGATTCGAAGAACGAAGAGACGCCGTTTTTTAAGGCCTCCAAAGAGTCAAAGTTTTTTCCATTTATATAATTTTGCAATGACCGGAACAAGTGATAGTCAGATGGTGCGATATCAGGAGAATACGGTGGATGCGTTAAGACATCCCATTTCAGGCTCTTCAGTTTGCGCAGCGTCTTTTTCGAAACGTGTGGTCTGGCGTTGTCGTGATGAAAGACGACTCCCTTGCGATTTGACAAAATCGGACGTTTCTCTTTTATTTCTCGATTCAGATTGGTTAATTGGCGACAGTACTTGTCCGAATCAATCGTTTCGCCAGCGGGGAGAAGCTCGAAATAGATTATGCCCTTGCAATCCCACCAAATAGAGAGCATCATCGGGTGCAAACTGGCCTTTGGCATTGCGTCACCATGCTCACCTGATTGTTTCCATGT